CAGTAACCACCCGCTTCGTCCTCTCCAAACCCACCCTGGGCTGGGTAGAGGGGCAGCTGGGAGTTTGACATGGATCTGGGCTCTAAGGGGTTAAGTTATGCCCCCTACTCCCCCCCTTCTTATTCTCCTCTCCTGTCCTGTCCCTCAGGGACACATGGGTAGCTCGCCTTAGGGTCTCCCCCACCCCTTGCTTATGGTTTTAAGTTGGTGTTTATGCCCAGCATGCTCCAAAAAAGGATTTGAAGTTTCCTTCTAAGGAAGTGATTTTTCTAGGGGGGGGGGGGAATTGCCTAAAGGTAGCTCCCAGCTGCCCTGGTTATTTCTGGAAGATTGAACAGCTGGAGGTTGGAGGTGTGGATGGACAAACATCCAGGTATGGCACCAATGCCCCCCTACACACACCCTGGGGCTATCTCATTTTTCCCATCTGTGAAAGGACTGGTGGTACCTCATTTCCTGCATGCCTCTAAGCCTGGGGAAAGAGCCTTAGAGAGAAGGTGGAGGCCTGGGGGAGCCAGGGCAAGGGGCGGGAGGGGGTGGAGACCGGCCAGCGCTGTTGTGTCCTGAGCCAGATGTTCCAGGCCTGCCTGTCCCGGGGGCTTAGGTGTTGCTGTGCCTGCTCCCCGCAGTTTCCGCTTGTGGGTATAATTGAAAGCAGGCTCCTGAACTGGAGCTCTGGGCATGAGTCTTCCTCCGTCCCACAGAGCACCAGGCTGGGCCAGATTTCACCAGAGCCCACCGGCTCTCAGCAGGAAGGCCTTGTCCTGTCCCCTCTTTGGCTGGGACCCCAGAATAAAACCCTGAGAAGCAGCCTGTGTGCCACACCCTGCACCCAGCACTTACATTCAGAATCTTACACCACCCTCCTGCCAACACTGGGAGGCCCCTCCAACCCCTTCAGACAGATCCGGAACACTCAAGAATCACCCTGAGCTGCTCAGATACACTCCTGAGGAAGCCAAGAGTCCCGAGACTCCCAGAGCGCTAGTGTTTTCTGACTTTATCTGGTACTAGTACTGAGGATTTTGGTGAGTAATTAGAGATAAGAGTCTTACAGGCTTTTCTGTCAAGCTGACTTTGAACCTCAAGCCTCAGATCTCAGCCTCCTGAGTAGCAAGGATTACAGGTGTGAGCCACCAGCACCTGGCCAGAGATGAAGCCATTCAATTGGTTGTCCAGGCAGCAGTTACTGTTGGTCCAACATAGGACTGGGCTGTGGAGGGACCATCAGGGGACAGAGGGAGGAGAGACTTAGAATGAGGACTCGGTTTTATTCAGGTGCGTAGGAGCACACAGGTTTGGGAAGAAGATAAATTTGGGTTGCTTGATAGCAGTTCCAGCCTTCAGACCAAAGCCAAAGGTGTTCATGAGAGGGAAACCATGTAAACCAAACTTTGGAATCAGGTTGTGCTATGTGACCCTGCGCAAAATTCTGGCCTTCTCTGATCCAAGAGAGGTAATATCAAAGGCAGAAAAAGACAATGAAGTGTGAAGGAGGGCGGTCTTTCAGCAGCACATACTGCCTGGGGAGCAAAGTAATTTAGTATTTTCAGAGTCTGCACTGTCTCTCTGTCTCTGTCTCTGTCTCTGTCTCTCTCTCACACACACACACACACACCAGAGTCCGCTGAGGCTCAATGGGATCATGGCACACAGGGAGGAGGCATAGGGGCTGAGATTAGAGCTGGGCCTGGCTCTTCTCCACTGGGACCCTGCTGCGTCCAGGCCAGCCCCTGAGGGTACGGAGGCCCAGGAGGCTGGGCGCTGGCTGCCCCGGCTCCTGACATCTGGGGCTGCCAGCAGAGGCCTAGCCTGGACTCCTGGCTTGTGTCAGGGCCTTGGCTGCCCCCATCAGACATAGCACCTCATCGGAAGAGGAGGGAAGGAATGTAGAGGTCTGAGGTGGAGGCCTCTGCTGGTGGGGGTGGGGGGAGAGTCCTGGTGGGTCCCCAAGAGAGAGCTCACAGAGGGCACTGGCACAGAATCTTCTGGGCTCCCAGCAAAGCAGAATGAGAAGAAGACCCATGAGTCCCTAAATGTGGCTGGCAGGGGAGAATCAGCCCACAGTTCTTAGAGAACATTCCACCTGCAGACCACCAGGACAGAGGACTGGTTCCCAGGAACCCCCACCCCCAGCTTCCCCCACCACCACTGTCTCCTGCCCCCACAAGGCTGTAGAGAAGGCAGGAAGGCTCTGGGCAGCTGCTCTGCAGCCGCTCAGTTGCTGAATCCAGGGCTGTTTCCTCATCTGTAGGATGCTGCTAAAAATAGAAGAGAAAAAACAAACACTACCCCCACCCCCAAACAGCTAATACTGCATCCACATGGAAAAACAGCTCTTCCCCCTTTCAGGATTTCAAATCATGATCATAACAGCTGCAATATAGATAGATATTGCTGTCTTTCCATCCATCCACACCACCCCCGCCCTCCCCTCCCTCCCAACCAGCTTCCAGGGCTATGATCCATCCCTGCTCAAAACCCTTCTGGGGGTTAGTCAGCTTTTCCCCTCTGCTGTGACAAATCTCTGAGAAAATCAACATCAGGCTTATGTAGCTAGCTCAGGGTGATGGAGGTGTCCGTCCAAGGTTCCTTGGCTCCATTGCTTCCCAGTCCTTGTGAAGCAGAGCATCACAGCAGAAGGGCCTGTTGGAGGAAAGCTGCTCACCTGGCTCCTGGCAGCGGACAGAAGGCAGAGAGAAGGAAGAGGAAAGGACCAGGGGTAACATATACTCTGGGACCTACCCTCAGTGGCCTCATCCTCCAACCAGGCCCCAGCTCCTAGCTTCCACCACCTCCCAATAATGCCATCAGATTATGAGTGCAAGAGTGGGTTAATCCATTGGGCAGGGCAGACTCTTCCCTAGCCTATCAGCTGACAGATGGGCCTTCAGCATGTGAGCCTTAACAGCCAAGCGTCTTCCTCTCTCCTTCCTTCCTTCTTTTCTTTTCTTTTCTTTCTTTTTTTTTTTTTTTTTGATGCAAGTCCTGAGGCTTGAATTCAGGGCCTGGACACTGCCCCCTAAGCTTTTTTCCCTTAGGGCTTTAGCACTTTACTGCTTGTGCCACAGGGCTACTTCCCACTTTTTTGGTCATTAATTGGAGTTAAGAGTCTCCTGGACTTTTCCTGCCAGCCCAAATTGGCTTCAAACCTAGTTCCTCAGATCTCAGCCTCCTGAGTAGCTAGGGTTACAGGCGTGAGCCACCGGCATGCAACTCCCATGTTTGTTATATTAAAGGAGTACAATTGAAAACTGCCACTGTTTGTTTTGGGGGCTTTGTTGCTTTGTGTTTTTCTTTTCTTGAGATAGGGTCTTGCCCAGCTGCCCAGGCTAGACACTAAGCCCGAGCGGTCAGCCTGCTTCTTGTTGCAGGGATTGTAGACATACTTCTGTACTCACTCTAACTTCTTTATTTTTATATTTTTTGCACTACTGGGATTTGAACTCAGGGCTCACATTTGCCTAACAAATGCCTGTGCTACTTAAGCTACACCGCCAGTCTTTCTGTTTTCATTTATTTTTCAGATAGGCACCAACTGCCCACGTTCGTCTTAGAATCACGGTCCTCCTATCTCTGCCTCCTGAATAGCAGGAGTCACAGGAGTATGCTACCATGCCCAGCCTCACTCTACATTTTTTAAAATTTTATTTTATGGGTTTTTTTGGTCATTGTTGTTTTTGTTTTTTACCAGTCCTGGGGCTTGAAGTCAAGGCCTGGCCATTGTCCCTGAGCTTCTCTTGCTCAACACTAGTTCTTTACCACTTGAGCCACAGCTCCACTTCTGGCTTTTTCTGAGTGGTTTATTGGAGATAAGCATCTCACAGACTTTCCTGCTCCTGCTGGCTTCACACCTCGATCCTTGGATCTCAGCCTCCTGAGGATCTAGGATCACAGGTATGAGTCACTGGTGCCGGATTCCCACTTTACCATTTTAAAGTGACATTTGTTACATCCACAATGTTGCACTATCTAGTTCCAGAACACTTGTATTACCCCTCCAAAGATACCTTGTAGCCATTAAACAATCGCTCTCCTTCCCAACCCCCCCCCATTCCTTCTATTCTGTCTTTGTGGATTTGCCCATTCTGAATATTTCAGGTAAATAACATACACTGTGAAAACTTTTGTGGCTGGCTTCTTCCAGAGTATAATGCTTTAAAATTTTATCCATGTTGCAGCATGAATCATTACTCCACTCCTTGTTTTTTTGTGTGTGTGTGTGTGTGTGTGTGTGTGTGTGTTGGTCCAGTCGTGGAGCCTGAACTCTGGGCCTGGGTGCTGTCCCTCAGCTCTTCAGCTCAAGGCTAGCACTCTACCACTTGAGCCACAGCGCCACTTCCGGCTTTTTTCTTATGTGGGGCTGAGGAGTAGAACCCAGGGCCTCAGGCATGCAAGGCAAGTACTCTACCACTGAGCCACCTTCCCAGCCCCACTCCTTGGTTTTTTTAGTGCTGGTCCTGGGGCTTGAAGTGAAGGTCTAGTCACTGTTCCTCAGCTTTTTTGTTCAAGTGCTCTACCACTTGAGCTATAGCTTTTAGGTGGATAATTGGAGGTAAGAATCTTATGAACTTTTCTACCTGGGTTGGCTTCGAACCACGATCCCCAGATCTCTGCCTCCTAGATAGCAAGGATTACAGGTGCCCCAGCTACTCCACTCTTTTTGATAGCAGAGTAATATTTCATTGTATCTGCCTGCCACCACTGTTTAGTTTTTGTATGGGTTGTTTTCACCTAGTGAATATTACAAATAACACTGCTATGAACATTCACACACTAGTCTTGGTTTGGATACAGAATTGCTGGATCATACTGCAATTCTGTTTTACTCTTATAAGAATAAGAAAATAAGTATATTTTCTCTCTAAGGACTTCTCTAGTCTCTGCCACCAATACCTACCACCCACCCCACCAGACCATCCAGGCTGAATTCTGCCTGGCCCACATCTCAGTGGAGTTCCTCTTTCCCCCTATTTCTCCCCCTTCTCCCCCTGCAGGTGTTTGGGGACTTGGACCAGGTGCGGATGACATCAGAGGGCTCCGACTGCCGCTGCAAGTGCATCATGCGGCCGCTGAGCAAGGACGCCTGCAGCCGGGTGCGCAACGGGCGCGCAAGGGTGGAGGACTTCTACACCGTGGAGACCGTGAGCTCCGGGGCCGACTGCCGCTGCTCCTGCACCGCGCCACCCTCCTCGCTCAACCCCTGTGAGAATGAGTGGAAGATGGAGAAACTCAAAAAGCAGGCGCCTGAGCTCCTCAAGGTAAGCTGGGGTGAGCTTATGCCAGCTGGACTTGCTGTCAGCCTTCCCCCAGGCTCCTGCGGGCCCATTCCACAGGTCCGAAGACTGAGGCCCGTCGCTCACTGAGCAAGTTAAATCACACTGCAGCCTTTGGTGTTTTACCAGCTATCCTGGATTTTTCCCATATCAAACTTACCCCCCCAACCGTTTCACCTGCCTGCAGCCATGTGTACTTAATTTGTTTTAATTTCTTCATTTGTTTGTTAGTTTTGTCTGTTGTGGGGCTTGAACTCTGAGCCTGGGTGCTGTCCCCTCTCAGCTCTTCAGCTCAAGGCGAGCACTCTGTCACTTCTGGTTTTCTGGTGGTTAATTGGAGATACAAGTCTCACAGATTTTCCTGCCTTGGCTGGCTTTGAACTGTGAGCCACAAGTGTCTGGCAGTTTATTTATTTTTGCCAGTCCTGGGGCTTGAATTTAGGGCCTGGGCACTGTCCCTGAGCTTCTCTTGCTCAAGGCTAGCACTTTACCACTTAAGCCACAGCACTACTTCTGGCATTTTCTGTGTATGTGGTGCTAAGGAATCAAACCCATGGCTCCGTGCATCTGGGCATGCACTCTACCACTGAGCCAGATTCCCAGCTCTACATTTCATTATTTTAAGTAGAGCTTTTCTCACATCTAAGCACTCCCTGTAGGCCACATTGTGTGTGTGCATGCGCAGTCCTGGGACTTGAACTCAGGGACTTGAAACTCTCTCTGCCATCTTGCTATCACAGACCTTAGTGTCTGTCCCAGAATAAACATCTGCTGGGCCCAAAGAGGGTGGTCAGGCTATACCAGGGAGGGTTCAAATGCCAAGCCCACGTCTGTGCAAGTGGGCAGCCACAGGAACTTAGCCAGTGTGGAAGAAGCCCTCATCAAAGCCTCAGAGGGGATCAGCCAGGGCTGATGGGCCGGGGCTCGGTGGCTCAGTGCTGAGCTCTGCCCCAGATGTTACCCTCCCTACCATACCTCCATTTCACAGAGAAGAAAACTGAGGCTGGAGTCTCAAACTGCACTGCACAGAGCTCCAAAGCTACCCCTGGAGCCCCTCAGGGCTGGGGCAAGGTGGTGGGGGAGCAAGGAAGACTCCGTGAGTCCTACCTCTGATTCTAGAAGCGTCTTTCACCTTCTTGTCTGTTGGAGAGCTCGGCTTCTGCCCAGAGAAAAATTTCCTGGCTTGAACAGTTTGAAAACTCCTGGGAAATTGGAGTAAAACTGAGAAACAGCTGGATAGAAAGAACCAGAGCAGAGCACTGGCTTCCGCAGGCCCTTGAGAAAGGCTGCAGGCCAATGAGGCCATGAGGGAAGGAATATGCCAGAGAACGTCCTTCCCTGTGCCTACTTGGCATTCTACTGGCGTGTTGGTCATCTGTAGAGAATGTCATCTTGAGGAGGTGACAGAGGAGGAGAGAGACAGCTGCAGGACAGAGCCCTGGGCTAATCTCGGGCCCAGCACCTGCTCCAGACTGTGCCACTGCCCTGTTGTGCCGGTCCCTTCCCATCTCTTTGCCTCTGTTTTCTCGAAACAGGATTGATCAAGTGTGATAGGAAAGACTGAAAAAGCCAATTAAGTTGGCAGGCACTGGTGTCTCATGAGAGTAATCTTAGCTACTCAGGAGGCCAAGATTTAAGGATCAGGATTCGAGCCTAGACAGGAATGTCGGTGAGACTCCTATCTCCAATTTAACCACCAAAAAGCTGTAAGTTGAGATATAGTTCAAGTGATAGAGCGCTATCCTTGAACAAAAGCTTAGAGACATTAGTCAGGCCCTGTGTTCAAGCCTTAATACCACACACACACACACACACAAGTTGGGTGTTGGTGGCTCATGCCTGTAATCCTGGCTACCCAGGAGGCTGAGGTTTGAGGATCGCGGTTCAAAGCCAGCCTGGGCAGGAAAGTCCGTGAGATTCTTATCTCCAATAAACCACGAGAAAACCGGAAGTGGCGCTGTAGCTCAAGTGGTAGAGTGCTCGCCTTGAGCTGAAGAGCACAAGGACAGTGCCCAAGCCCAGAGTTCAAGCCCCATGACCGGCAAAATAAAAAAAAAGAGGGCTGGGATGTAGTCAGTGGCAAAGTGCTTGCCTAACAAGTGCAACGTCCTGGGTTCAATCCCCAGTACCAAAAAAGAAAAGACAAAAAAAATACAGTTAATAAATAAAAAGAGAGAGAGAGAGAGATTTCCATTTATACTGATCTAATCTCTGCTCTGGGCTGTACCATTAAATGCTGAAGACTTTGGGTTCGTCACTTCACCTCTGTGAGCAAAACATGCAACCTATCAACCAAACATAAAAGTAGTCAATGCTTTGAGTCTGGCCAGGCACTAGAAGCAGGCCTGGAAGGAAGGCAGTAATTCACTATGAGAGAGTTCCAGAGAAACTGTACGGAAGTGAGAGTAGAAAGGCCCAGAGACGGATGCCCAGTTAGGAGGTGGCCTCAGGCCAAGGGCGAGCCTCTGCCAGATCCCGCGGGAGCTTTAGAGAGGGGATGGCAGATCACTTCCCCTGAGACCAGGCAGCTAGGCTTGTGGGTGCCCAAGCCTCTCTGTCATGCCTCAAGGCTGCTCCCAGCATAGATGCCCAAGCTCTATAAAGTCATTCACCAGCGAGCCACCTGGGGAGGGAGAGAGGCCAGTTAGCAGGTAGGAAAGGCAGTCAGGGAGGAGGTGAACTTTTTTGTGTCCATCCTGGTGCTTGAACTCTGGGCATAGGCACTGTCCCTAAGCTTTTGTGCTCCAAGCCAGCACTCTACTGCTTCAGCTACAGCTCCACTTCCAGCTTTTTCATGGTTAACAGTCTCACAGAGGGGCTGGGAAGGTGGCTTGGTGGTAGAGTGCTTGCCTAGCATGTATGAAGCCCTGGGTTCAATTCCTCAGTACCACATACACAGAAAAAGCCAGAAGTGGTGCTGTGGTTCAAGTGGTAGAGTGCTAGCCTTGAGCAAAAGAGTTCAAGACCTAGGGCTGGCAGAAAATAAAAAAAGTTTCACAGACTTTCCTACCCAAGCTGTCTTTGAACTGTGATCCTCAGAGCTCAGCCTCCTGAATAGCCAGGATTACAAGTGTGAGCCACCAGCACCTGGCAGGAGGTGTAAGTTGACATGTGTAGTACCATAGGGTAACCATGGCTGGCAGCGATTGTCTAGTTCACAGTCTAGTAGAGAGGATGTTAAGTGTTGCCAATACAAAGGAATTAGCAAATGTTTGTGGTGATGACTGTTGCAGTTTCTCTGACTGCTTTACTGCACAACACACCCACCTTCTAGAATGTCACCCTGTTCTGCATAAGCATGTATAATGATCCTGTCGATACAAATTAATTCAATTTGAGTGTGTGTGTGCTGGTACTGGGACTTGACCCCAGGGACTTGGGCACTTGCTTAGTTGCTTTTTCCACTCAAGGCTGTTGCTCTACCACTTGAGCCACACCTCTACGTCTGTTTTTTGTTTGTTTTGTTTTGTTTTGCTGGTTAATTGTATATAAGTGGTTCATGGGTTTTCATGCACAGGCCGGCTTTGAACCATGATCCTCAGACCTTAGCCTCCTGAGTAGCTAGAATTATTGAGTCCTTAGTGCCTACCCTCAATACAAATACATTCAAAGGGAAGTACACAGAAGCCAAGAATGGGCAGAGGAGTGGAGCCTAGGGGACCTGGACCAGTCCTCAGTGTCCCCTACATGATTCACGGGGTTGTCACAAGAATTAAGTGGAACAAAACCCCCTAGCCCCCATGTGCCTTGCATGACCAGTGACCAAAATCTAGAATCTCTGCAGGATGTGTGTCTCAGAGCACTTGCCTAGCATATGTGAGACTCTAGGTTCCCTCTCCAGTCTTCAAATGAACGAATGAATGAATGAATGCTGTGCCCATGACTAGGAGCAGACTTGGACTAGTGAGCACTGAGGCCCAAGCAGGCCATTCTGAGGCTCTGGGAATTGGGAGTTCATCACTGCTGTGGGGCTCCTTTTGTACTTTCCCATCCCACCTAACTGCCCTCATGCCGCCCCCAGCTGCAGTCCATGGTGGATCTCCTGGAGGGCGCCCTGTACAGCATGGATCTGATGAAGGTGCACGCCTACGTCCACAAGGTGGCCTCCCAGATGAACACACTGGAGGAGGTAAGGCTGCCCTCCCTGTCTCCCCACCCACACCGCACCCCCAGGGATTGTGCTCCGCTGGCTGCCCCTGAAGGGGCCTGGGCCACTCTGGTTGACCCTGGGGCTACTGGAAGCAAGACTGGGGCTGGGGGAGCTGAGGGAGGGACCTGCAGGCCACAAGATCCAGCCTTTGGGAAAGAGGTCTGACTGGAGCTTAAAGGCATGAGGAAACTGGGAAGGCTGAGCGGAGAAACTGAGGCACCTGCTGGTTGTATGAAAGGGTGCAGAAGGAGCTAGATCTTCTTGACCCACTCGGATCCGGGTCCATGCTGTACAATGTAGAGGTGACACCGTGCACAGAAAATACGGTGACCGTATTGACTGAGTAGGTGCTGTGTGACAGGGGTGGTCAGAGCTTGGAACAGGCTCAGAACAACCCAACAGTCCTGGTACTACCTGAGAGGAGACAGACTAGACTACTGGTTTTGTACAGGAACAGTTGAGCAATGCTGGATGCTCAGGCTCCAGGTTCAAGGCTTTCTAATGCTGGCACTGCCTGGCCTCCACCCGTTTCCTGCATCCGGCCCCTGCTAAGTCACTAGAGAACTGCAAATCTACAGCTGCCTGGAGCAGGCGTGGGGACTTCCTTTCCCAGTTTCCTTTGCAGAGGGAGGGGGCACCTGGGCATCCTGTGCCCCAGGGTGGGAGATAAAGCCGCATGGAGCCCGAAGCTGGGGTTGCAGTGGCTTTGACAATCAGTGAGTCCCTCCTATTGGTTGAGCCCGTGCCAGCTGGGGAAGCTAAGTACCAAGGCTTCCTGTGTCTGCCCAGCGCTCCCGTTGCTGCCCCCAAAGCCATCCTGCTTTGACCTTTCCTCCTGTAATCTCAGGAAATACTAACTCATTGCACGTAATGCTGAGCCTGAGAGAAATCAAAAATGATTTCCGAAGCCACAGAAAAGATGATTGTTTAATTATCTTGTGCTTCACATTATCTGTGCTTTGTTTTTGTTAAACATGGTTTATTTCCCAAAGGATAACCCTATGGAAGGGAAAAGAAAAAAAGAAAGCTCTTTCTATCCCTGGAAATGGGAAGGGAGGCCAGGCTGTCTGACTCAGGAGGAACTGGCTCCCCAGCCAATGGAAAAAATCCTCCCAGAAGATCAAACAGCGATCTGCAAGTCCCAGCCTCCCTCAGCTCTTTTCTCGTCTGCCAGGGATCATTTCAGCTGAAAATACCTAGAGATATCTTGAGCTAGGGACAAGCGGATGCTGCTAGCTCCTCATTGGTAGAGTTATTGCTACGCACCCCGCAACACATCCACTAGGCCTCCAAAACCCGCTTCCCACCTGGCAAGATTCAGTAGGGCTGAGATTCAAAAATACCCCTTACATACTTTGACTTCCACCTAGCCTTGAACTCAGGACACTGTCTCTGAACTTTTTTTTGCTCACGGCAAGCACTCTGCCACTTGAAGCACAGCTCCACTTCTGGCTTTTTGCTGGCTAATTAAAGATAAAAGTCTCATTGGCTTTCCTGCCTGGGTTGGCTTTGGATCACAATTCTCAGATCTCAGCCTGCTGAGTAGCTGGGATTACAGTCATGAGCCACTGGTGCCCAGCTCAAAGTGCACTTTCATATTCCTCAGCTTTTCTGGGTCTCACAATGACTCTACAAGTTAGTTGTCCTTATCATTAGAATCCCTATTTTAAAGGCATGGAGAAGTAATCACTAACTCAAGATTATCCAACCATGAAATGAAGAACAGAAATTCCAATCCGATTCCTTCTCACTGCCTCTCAACATGAAAATTCCAGGGCTGACTGGATGTAAATCATTTTAGGTTATCTGCTGTGAATTCATGATGTGGATGTCTCTGGCTTCTCAGCAAAGAGATGTTTCCTGCTGCTAACTAGTCTCCTGTTTCAACTGAGAAGTAGGTTTACACCAAGGAACCCTCACCCAGCCAGGTGATGGTGGGTCAGGAGGCTGCAATCTAGAGGACTGTGGTTCAAAGCCAGCCTGGGCATGAGTTTCCACATCTCAAACATCAGATAAGCTTGGCTAGAGGTATGGTTCAAATGGTAGAGGGCAAGCTAAGAAAGTATATGGCTTATACATAACCCTGGACTGCTCCTGCAGCTTAGGAATCTAGAAATAATACCTACCAGACTGCCCAGGTTTCCTGCCAAAGGAAAAGGGGTTCCCAAGGTAACAGGGGAGTCCTAGAAGGAGAAATATGAGCATGTCTGTTCCCAGTGGGATTTAGAAGCAGAAATAGAGCCAGGGTTGGAGTGGGAGCCACTAAAGCTAGGCAGAAAAATACTCCTCAGCAAGGTAAGAGGTGGAGCCAAAGCACTACTGGAGTAAAGGCAGGAAGCTTCAGGCCTGGAGAGGGGCCAGGACTAGAGACTTACCCACAGAAAATCCTCCAAAGATTTCCCTTGCATCTACATTGCCTGAGTATTTTATTTTTAAAAATCTGTTTATGGGCTGGACAATGGTGGCTCACACCTGTAATCCTAGCTTCTCAGGAGGCTGAGATTTGAGACTCATGGTTCAAAGCCAGCAGGAAAGTCTGTAAGACTTCTTTTTATGGTTGTTAGTCATGTGGCTTGAACTCAGGGCTTAGGGGCTGTCCCTGAGCTTCTTTGCTCAAGGCTAGCACTTGTCTGCTTTGAACCACAGCTCCACTGCTGGCTTTCTGGTGGTTAATTGGAAATAAGAGTCTCACTGGCTTTCCTGCCCAGGCTGGATTTGAACCACAATCCCCAGATCTCAGCCTTCGGATAGTTAGGATTAAAGGCATGAGGTACCACCACCCAGCTTAGTGAGTCTTTTATCTCCAATTAAATACCAAAAAGCTTGAAGTGGAGCTGTAGCTCAAGTGGTAGAGCACTAGCCTCAAGCCAGAAATCTCTGGGACAGCACCCAGGCTTTGAGTTCAATCCGCAGAACCAGCAAACCCAGAGAAGTATGCGTGCATATGTACATGCACGCATGCACACACACGCGCACACACACACACACACACACATGTTTATGTATTTCATGTAAATACTAAAAGAGTTTAGGACTGGAGGTCCTAAACTGGAGGTCAAGTAGGAGGCCATAAGTTCAAACCCCAGTACCACAAAAATATAATCATTTTAAGGTAGCAAAGTATGGAAAAGATATATATATAGATACATTGGTCCCTATAAAAGAACAGAATGTCTTTAGAGGATACACAAAAAAATTCACAATTATCAGCATTGAGAAATAAACAGAGGTGAAAGGGACATATTTTTTTAGATCAAATTTTATTTCTTTTCATTTTAGTCCTGTAAAATCTGGATATGGTGGTGCATACTTGTAACCCCAGAATTTACAAAAGCATCAAGAATGTTAAGACCAGGAAATGGAGCTATGCTCAGATGGTAGAGTACTAGACTTGAGCAAAAAAGCTCAGGGCCAGGCTGGGAAGGTGGATCAGCCGTAGCGTGCTTGCCTCGCATGCAGGAGGCTGGGAGTGGCGCTGTGGCTCAAGTGGTAGAGCACCAGCCTTGAGCTGAAGAACTCAGGGACAGTGCCCAGGCCTAGAGCTCAAGTCCCACGACTGACAAAAAAAAAAAAAAAGCTCAGGGCCAGCACCAAGGACCTGAGTTCAAGCCCCTAGGACTGGCACCAAAAGAGAAAAAAATAAAAAGGAAGAATTCAAGACCAGCATGGGTTACATAGGGAGACTCTATCTCAACAACTACAGTAATAATAGTAATAATTCCAGAAATGTTTTACCTATTTTTCATTCCATGGCCTGTTAAATGGGAACAACAAAATTGAAAACTTCAGTCATCCAGCACATGCTTTTTTCGACCCACCCTCACCAGTGCTAATTGCCTTTGCAAACCCCATCCCTGCAACTGGGCACCCAGGCTGATAGTCAAATTTCAGGGACTCGATTCAGGGGGTAGCAGACCAATGAATGGCCTGGAATCTTGCCCCACAGAGCATCAAGGCCAACCTAAGTCGGGAGAACGAGGTGGTGAAGGACAGCGTGCGTCACCTCAGCGAGCAGATGAAGAGTTATGAGAACCACTCAGCCATCATGCTCAGCATCAAGAAGGAGTTAGCCAACCTGGGCCTCCAGCTGCTGCAGAAGGATGCAGCGGCCGCCCCTGCTACCACCCCTGCCACGGGCCCTGGAAGCAAGGCTCAGGTAATCACAAGGCAGAAGGTGGCTGTACTTGAGGGCATAGCATAGGTTAGACTAGAGAGGTGGGAGGGAAACACAACAGAGAATCACGGCAGATGACAACAGCTGTGTAGCTAGCATGAAAAACCAGGACAGATGTGCAGATTCAGCCAAGAGGGCTGGATGCTAAGCAAGATGTTTGACAGTTTTCTCATTCATAAATTCTCAAACTTGGAAGCAAGCTTGTAGAGATGAGACTCCCTGCCTGGCTTTGGGAGACCAGCTCTTCTGCTTCAAGCCTTCCCCAGGTGGCTGGGCCCTGGCTGGTGCCTGCCAAGCAATAGGGTACAAGTGATGGTGGCTCATGCCTAATAATGCTAGCTACACAGGAGACTGAGATCTGAGGATCATGGTTGAAAGCCAGCTCAGGTAGGAAAGTCCACAAGACTCTTACGGGGGGAAGGGGGTGGCAGGAATTGTGGGACTTGAACTCAGGGCCTGGGTGCTGTCCCTGAGCTCTTTGGCTCAAGGCTAGGGCTCTCCCACTCTTGGCCACAGCTCCACTTCCAGTTTTTCTGGTGGTTAATTGGAGTGTGTCACAGACTTTCCTGTCTAGGCTGACTTTGAACCTCGATCCTCAGATCTCAGCCTCCTGAGTAGCTAGGATTATAGACGTGAGCCACAAGTGCCCAACTGCCTTTGGAGACCTTTACAGATGAATAGCAACTTCTCCACTTCACCTGAGTGAAAAACCTAGGCAGCAAACACCCAGATGTTCCACCCTCAAGCTCTGAGCACTGTGGACAGAGCTGCCCATGACAAATGACCTACCTTGGTGAGACTTGGCAAAGATTCCCCCTGTAGGCCAGACAGGCTGCAAAAATGGCCATCCCACTGGGCAGCTAGGTTAGTGAAGCCACCTCTGCATGGACAAATGGCTTAAAGGTTCCTTCCTCAGGTGGACACATGCCAGAGATTGTGACTTGGCAAAAAGAATAGGGACAAGTTCCAAACTCCCATCACTACCCCTCTGACTGGTCACTTAAGGGACAGAACACAGCCCAGCAGCCTTGCTTTTCTTGAGTGGCATGGATTCCTTTTCTAAACTTGTCACATCAGTGAGTCCTGTGACCCCCTGGAAGGAGGGCTGACCTCTGCCCATCTGGCACATAAGGAAACAGAGCAGTCACACGGCGAGAGGGTGTCTGAGTTGGGCTGGAAGCCACGCTGTGTGTCCGTAGAGCCCAGCCCTCTGCCCCACTGTGAAGAGGTTGTTGGTGATTACAGGTAGCACTGCCTAGCCCTGGCCAGGGCTGGTGGCCAGCTCATTCTCATGCCAGTTTTGCTGGTGCTCACCAATCTTGCTGATGGTCCATCAGATACTGTGTGCCCTATCTGCCAAAGCTTCTGCCTAACAATGGGTGACAGACAAGGCCTGTGTCCCCATGCCAAGCCAGCATCAGAGGCATTTGAATAGGAAATGAAGTAGATATGTCGTGTCCTAGGGGTGGGGTGATCAGCCATGGGACTGGGGAACTTCCCAGAATGCTAAGCTCTCCGTGCTAAAACAGAGACAGTTCTGGGGCACCCTGGGATGCAGTGGTCACCGGCAGAGAGACGCCAGAAGATCTCTGCTGCCTTCCCTGAGAGCCACCTGGTCCTTGTCTATTCCCAGGGGAGGAGTGGACAGGAATTGGGAACTGGGTCAGGAATCCAACCCACTAGGTTGGTCTTCAAATCTACTAGGGAGAAGGGAGTAGGGAAACTGAGGCAAACCCACTATGGATGCAACCACTGAGAGAAAGATGAGCACTTCATGGGCACCTGGAAGGTAGGGCTTGGAGCAGCGCCCCCCCAGCCCCTACAGCTGAGCTTTCATGACCTCCCACAAAACCCTCTCTGCTGCTCCCCAAGTCTGTGATTCTTCTTCTCTCCTAGGACACAGCTGGAGGGAAAGGCAAGGATACCAGCAAATACAACAGTATGCCAAAGAACTTTGCAGACAAGGTCCTCACAAAGGCTCCTAAGGAGAAGCTGCTGAAGGTGGAGAGATTGAGGAAGGAGAGTGCCAAGGGCCGATTCCCCCAGCCCACAGCCAAGCCCCGGGCCCTGGCCCAACAGCAGGCGGTGATCCGGGGTTTTACCTACTACAAGGCAGGCAGGCAAGAGGCAACAGAGGGCGTGGCTGGTGAGTCGGAGGGGAGTGGAAACATTGGGGCCTGGCTGAAAGACAGCTGCCTCCCAGATCTCCTGGACTGCTCTGTACATGGCCCCATAGCTCAGCTCCATCATTGCTTACCTCATCCATCTCTGGAACATAATACCCTACTCAGGTTGTTGGGATGAAATGGTAAAACCAACGTGAGGGCCACTCACTCCTTTCCAGATTGTGAAACTGTATTCTTCCTCCTCCTCCTTCCCTGCTCTTCCTACTCCTTCTTACTCTGGTACTGGGATTGGAACTTGGGACCTCACACACTTGCTTAGCTTTTTTTCTCAAGGCTGGAGCTTTACCACTTGAGTCACACCTCCACTTCCAGCAATTTTCTTTCTTGCTTGCTTGCTTGCTTGCTTTTTTTTTTTTTTTTTTGTCAGTTATGGGGCTTGAATTCAGGGCCTGGGCACTGTCTCTAAGCTTTTGTGCTCAAGGCTAGCACTCTTGTCACTTGAGCCACAGCTTTACTTCTGGCTCTCTGGGTGCTTAATTCAAAGAGTCTTACAGACTTTCCTGCCTGGACTGGCTTAGACAGCCATCCTCAGATCTCAGCCTCCTGAGTAGCTAGGATTATAGGTGTGGACCACCAGCACCCGGCCACTTCTAGCATTTTGATGGTTAGTTGGATATTAGAGTCACTCAAATTTGTCTGCCTGGACTGGATTTGAACCTTGATCCTCAGATCTCAGCCTCCAGAATAACTAGGATTATAGACATGAGCCATTGAGCATCTGGCTTCCAGCAACTATCTCCTCCCTCCTCTTCACCTCCCCCTTGTTGTTGGTGTGGTCTCTCTCTTTTGTTGTTGTTGGTTGTAGGGCTTGAGGCTTGAATTCTGGGCCTGGCGCTGTCCCTGAGCACTTTTTGCTCAAGGCTAGCACTCTACCACTTTAAGCCACAGCGCCACTTCTGGTTTTCTGGCTGTTAATCAGAGACAAGAATCTCACAAACTTTCCTGCCCAGGCTGGCTTTGAACCATGATCCTCAGTTCTCAGCCTCCTGAGTAGCTAGGATTACAAGCGTGAGCCACCAGCACCCAGAAGCCTTCTTTTCTTATCTCCCCAAAGAGCTCAGCCTCTCCTACTTTTTTTAGAAGCTCCCTGCTAGGCCACCATGAAATTAACTGAGAAACAGGAGAACATAGCTCCAAAAGTCCCCAAAAACTTTCACTTTCGCCACTGATTCCATACTGTTCTTTTCTTTTCTTTCTTTTTTTTTGGTCGGTCCCTCAGCTCTTCAGCTCAAGGCAAGCGCTCTACTGCTTGAGCCACAGCATCACTTCTAGTTTTCTAGTGGTGTATTGGAGATAAGAGTCTCATGGACTTTCCTGCCCGGGCTGGCTTTGAACCTCCATCCTCAGATCTCAGCCTCCTAGGTACTAGGATTATAGGTGTGAGCCACTGGCAAGAGTGACAGCCCAAGCCTTTTCCCTTTCCTGGGTCTTGCTGCCCACCTTGTCTAGTGAAGCCCTCTGTGGGGCAGTGTCCAGGGGGACAGCAAGGTGCAACAGTTACAGTTAGCCCTTCAGGAGCTATTGCATACCTGAGTGGTGGCACATACCAATAATCCCAGCACTCAGGAGGCAGAGACAGGAGGATCTCAGGTTCAAGGCCAGCCTCAGCTACATAGTAAGACACACACACACACACACCCTCCATCTCACAAAACCAAAAGCCAGGTATACTGGTTACTTAGGAGTGGAGATCAGGAGGATCCATTCTGAGGCAAGCTCAGGTAGCTGACACTGCCTGTCAGCCTTGCTTCACAGGAAGCACAAACAGGATCAAGGTCCAGGCTAGCAGGGACAGAAAACCCTATCTGAAAAAACAGAGCAAGAAAGGGCTGGAGTTGTGTCTCAAGCAGTGAAACGTTTGCCAAGCAAATGCAGGCCCTGAGCTCAAACCCTAAAACTGCAAAAACAACCATAGAAAGAAAGAAGGAAAAGAAAACCCAAAAAACCAAGGGTAGAGGGTGCAGCTCAGTGGCAGAGCATTTGCTAAGCACGCCCAAGGCTCTGAATTGGATCCCCAACACTGGGGGGAAAAAGGCACCCTTGTTTGTTGGCTCCACTTGCAGCCTCTGGTGCCAGCTGTGGTCCTCGATCCCTGCCAGCTTAGCCTGGCCACAGCATCAGACCTCTGACCCCTGTCTGGGCCACTGCCCGGCACAGCTGTGGGCATCTGCCTCTGCCAGCAAGGCCCGTGGGAACCATCCTTCTTCCCTATCAGGCTGCTGAGGCCGGGGGCCACCCTGACTTGTTCCCACAGGAGCCCTGGCGCTGGGGGAAAAGGGGACAGGGAAGACTTTCCCTGAGCACGATAAAGAAAGGAGAGCCTAGCCTGGAGAGAAAAAGACGTCAGGTCATGTTCCTCTAGCCCAGGGATCCCTTGGCCCTCCCTTGGCTGACTGGCAGTTCTGGGGGGGCACCATGGAAAGCAGCACCTTTGTCACTGGTGTCAAAGCACCTTCTAGGACACAGTTTGCTGTTGCTCTTAATGACAGCTGCCTCCTGCAGGGAGGACAGGCCCACAGAGACAGAACACCTGGCTTCTGGGCAGTAGACTTCAGAGCCTGCCTTAGACTCCCTTCCCTGGACACCAGTAGCCTGTGTCCCCTGGTCATGTGACATTGAATGTCCCTATATCCCCTACCCATCCCAGCTAGGAAGTGGGGCTCAGATGTGACCCATAGATGGTTCACACTAGCAGAAGTTCTTTGTCAGCCAGCAGAGGTGGAGATGGGGAGGTGCCACTGACATAGGGGCCCCCTGACACCCATTTTACAGAGGTGGAACCTGAGGCCCACCACACCAGATGGATGGGTCCCCAAAAATTCACCTGGGGCTGGGGGTGGGAAGTGGACTTGCAGCTGGACCTGGAGCCCATCTTCCACGGGAGCATGTGGGGAGGACCTAGATGGCCTGGAAAGAGCCGGGTAGCAGCATGGCGGGGAGGTGATAGCACAAAGACAAGGTGAATTCAAGGTCATTTCTCTGCAGACAACGCCCTCAAGAGCACTTCCTGGCTGGAACAGCAGCCGCCCAAGGTTGAAAGCAAGCCTCCTGAGCCCAACTCAGCTGAGCAGGATGAGGCTGAGCCCAGGGTGTCAGAGAGGGCAGACTCCACCCCTGCCACCCCCACCACAGATCCTGCCACCCCCACCACGGCTGTCTCCACCACCCTGGCTCCCACCACTAGTCCCCCGCCCACAGAGCCACCTTCACACACAGAAGACCACAGCCAAGGTGAGTTAGCCTCCCAGGTTTGACAAACTACAACCCACGGCTAAATCCAGCCCATAGTCTGCTTGTTCGGGATCTAAGGATCGTGTGTGTGTGTGTGTGTGTGTGTGTGTGTGTGTGTGTGTGTGTGTGTGTGTGTGTGTGTGTGTGTGTGTGTGTACTGCAGTTTGAACCAGGGACTGGGCACTGTCCCTAAGCCTTTTTACTCAAGACTGGTGCTCTACCACGTGAGCCACAGCTTAACTTCTTGTTTTTTGCTGGTTAATTGGAAATAAGAGTCTCAGATTTTCCTACACAGGCTGGCTTAGAACCAGGATTCTCAGATCTCAGCCTTCTAAGTAGCTAGGATTATAGGCATGAGCCACCCGTGCCAGGCTTTTGTTAGGTTTTTGTTTTATGGTGATAAGAATTGAACCCAAGTCCTTGAGCATGCCAAAGCAAGTATTTTACCACATAGTTACACTTCCAACCTCCCCAGCTCTTTTTATGTCCACTTTTGTGATTTCTACTTGTGTGACATGACAGAATTTTTACTCAGTAGATCCTGGATCTGTCTTTCTGGAGGGTTCTTGGTGATGTAGTCTCAAACCTTCAGACCCTCTGCCGCCGTGGTCCGCTTGCGCACACGTCTCCTGAAGGACCCGCCCACCACGCGAGGACAGGTGCAGCTGAAGTGGTTCCTCTCCATGCTATTTCTAGTGTCAGAAAACTGGAAATAACCTGAAGGGCTGGCGTTGGGAGGGACATTTAATAAATGAAAGGGCACAGCTGTTGGGTGGCCTGGCAGGGCCCAGCAATTACATCATTAAAAGGGCTATTTAATGAGGTGAGAAATTGCTCCGAGGAAGAAAAAACACAGGATACATGAAAATAGATTTAGAAGAATCACAGTTTTGCAAAGTATATCTGCATGACCGTGCACGCAAAGGAAATAGAGACAAAGAAATACAACCACAACATTTTCTATGCATAAGAGAATTGTTTAAAGGGTGTGTGTGTGTGTGTGTGTGTGTGTGTTGGTTGGTCCTGTAGCTTGAATTCAGGGCCTGGGTGCTGTCCTTGAGCTAGAGCCCTGCCACTTGAACCACAACTCTGTGGCTTTTTGGTGGTTAATTGGAGATAAGAGTCTCATGGACTTCCCTGCTCTAGTTAGCTTCAAACTAGAATCCTCAGATCTCAGCCTCCTGAGTAGCTAGCATTACAGGTGTGAGCCACCAGTGTCTGGCAGGATTTTTTTTTTTTTCCAGTTGTGGGGTTTGAACTCTGGGCCTGAGCGCTGTCCCTCAGCTGTTCAGCTCAGGCTAGCACTCTACTACTTGAGCCACAACATGACTTCCGGATTTTTCTGCTTTTTTTTTTGGGGGGGGGTGGTCCGGTCGTGGGCCTGAACTCTGGGCCTGGGCGCTGTCCCTCAGCTCTTCAGCTCAAGGCTAGTGCTCTACCACTTGAGCCACAG